GTCTACAAAGATAATCATTCGTTCCAGTACTCGCTTAGATTTCTCATTAGAAACAACGTTGATCAAGCGCGTTTCCAATAAGACCTCCAAGTTAGTCAACTAGACACCGAATAATACCCATGAGTCTGAACACCATGCCCACATAAAATGCAACACATAAGCATGTTATCATTTAGCACACAACATACAAATGTCCTCACCGAGCATGATAAACCCATTATGGCTAACCACTTCCCGCGAGGCCAAGTTTTTCAAACCCGGTTAGCTCGGATACCACGTTGTCACGCTAGATTTACAAGGTCCGGCCCACATGAGTAAACCACCCAATGATAGACGATCACTAACAACACTTATGCAGATGTATATAATATAAGCACACAACACATGTGTTATTCCAATTTTATACATTCTTAGATACAACATCTATGTCAAATGGATGCTTTGTAACAAAAACGTACAAAAATGTTATAAACCAAATTAAGATGCCCAAAGGCTTACATCATATACAAAGGGTGTAACCCTTACAAGAGTGGCACACGGCCAACACATACATAAATGGCCCTTAGCTGACAAATAAAGGAACCACCCTACGTGGTTCCAAACATAACTTCAACATCCCAGTCCACATCCGTATAAACGTACCTAAAAAATATTTACAACCACGTAGGGTGAGCATAAAGCCCAATAGGAAATATTTCAAAAACTGAATATGTTCCACCAATGTAAATGATCATGAATGCAATACATACATATATAATATGCTCAATGCATTCCCAAATCCGCTTGCTTTCTCAATAAAAATCATTTCCTTCCAGTCTTTCAAACTTTTTGTTTATTTAAAACATTTTTCTGAATTCAATACATTAGTTTGATATAAAATCCATTTCCATAAGTCAATTCATGACCCAAAACAGCCCCGAATCATAGGAATATGGCACCCGATGCATGAAATGGTCCCGAAATGCAAGATTAAGCACATGAAATGACTTGTAGCTACCTCAAGCATGCATTATTTGATCATGACATGTGAAGACAGATTCAAGGAAGTCCAAAAATAAGCACATTCACAGTTCTAAGCAAGGTCAAACAATAAACACAAATAGGGAAAAACTAGCATGCAAAAATGGCCCTAAATGTGAGATAAAGAAGCAAGTCATGGCTGCTGGCCTCAAACCCAAGAGG